GGGGGGGGGGGGGGGGGAGAGCACTGGCCAGACAACGTCGCGGCAACAGCCCCACTAGCAAGGCTGTCGCACGGACGAGGCCAGCGTTCGAGCCAGGCATGTATCCAGAGTAGACCATTATAATAATACAACGTCTGAAAAATTCTTGACGCTTCGCGCATCCCCACCAGCCAATCCAGACACGATCGACAGGTGAGTCGGTGACTTTCGGGGATGATGTTACGTGATACTTGTGTCAGACTCTTGAGGGCATCTTGGGATCACCGTGGGGCTCCATTGTGGTGTTATTGGGGCCTTCTTGGGGCTCTATTGGGGCTCTTGGGGAGGTCTTGGGGCCCCCTTGGGGCCATCTAAGGGGGCATGAAGGGCTTCGTGGGGGCATGCTGGGGCCCATCGCTCAAACGGAGATGGGGTAACCGAGCCCAATCGCCCCCTCAGGAGCCCCAGCGCGCCGTCTTGGGGCCCTCTTGGGCCCGCCCGCCCGCCCATTCCACTCCGCCCACCCCGCCTTCGCCCGCTCCAGCCACCCCCTACCCCCTCGCCCGCCGCCCCCCCCCCCCCCCCCCCCCCCCCCACCCCCCCCCCCCCACCGCCCTCAGCGCCACCCCGCTCCGCCCCCGCCACCACACACGCACGCACGCACGCGCGCACACACACACACACACACACACACACACACACACACACACACACACACACACCACACACACACACACACACACACACGCACTGCCACCCGCCCACCCACCCACCCAGGACCAACCGCCCACATTCCCCCCCCCCCAAAAAAAAAAATACACACAAAACACGCACACACACCACACGCACGCACGCACGCACGCACGCACGCACGCACGCACACACCACACACACACACACACACACACACACACACACACCGAGACACACACACACACAAAAACACCACGCACACACACACACCACACACACACACACACACACATACACACACGCACACAACACACGCACGCACGCACGCACGCACGCACGCACACACACACACACAACTCACACACACACACACCACAACGCACACACACACGCGCACGCACGCACGCACGCACGCACGCACGCACGCACGCACGCACACACACACACACACACACACACACACACAAACACACAACCGCACACACACGCACACGCACGCACACGCACACGCACACGCACACGCCACACCACGCACACACACACACACACAAACACACAACACACACACACACATCACCACCCACCCACCCCCCCACCCACCCACCCACCCACCCATCATGGACCATGGGGCATAGGCTTTTGGTTGCTCAGCGCCGCGCTCACGCCTTGCGACCCAATTTGGGCGCGGTGCTGGGGCGGTGGGTTGTGTGCGGGGGGCTGGGGGATGCGCATTATACGCGGTAGGTTGGGGCAGGCTCCCGCTTGTGTGCACTGGGGCTCCCAAGTCTGCGTTAAACTTCGGTTGCGCCATTAGCTATCGGACACGCGGGGGAAACCATCGCAAACGAGCGCGCTGGTCGACAATGGACGTTGGCTTTTGCAAACTCTATATCGACTTCGTTCCATCCCGCTGAGACAGTAAAAAAAAATGCTTCCTCTTTCCAATTCAGCAGATTTTCATTTTTGCGCAGGAACAGTTTCTCAAAACACGTCCAATTACTGGCGCGTTTGGCCCGGAACGACAGCAATGGCCCAATCATCGACCTCCAGCAACACCCGGGCGATCAACTTACCTACCTTGCTCTGAGCTAACCAACATTGTTCGAGCTTGGTCATGGAGAAACCCCGACCTTCTAGACGCCGGGCGGACGTCTCGTGGAACGCCAGGGGCGCATCATCAAGCCCATGCACCGGAGCAGCTCGCTCTATGAGAGCTCCTGCTGGGAGGTTGAGCCCCTCGCATGGCTCGACAAAGACACGACCGCGCGGACGTTTCAGGGGGCCCGACCGGCACACATAATTTTCGACGTCGCCCATGTGCACCTCCAGGCCGTACATCAATGAGATCGCGAGAAAGAGCACGAGTGATTCCATTGACGGAGCGGGCGCATAGACCTGCAAGTCGGCGGCATCCTCGCCCTGATGGCCCCGGACACACCAGCGAGGCCTCGGGCCTGGCCCCCGCCCGCGGTTGGCTTCCACTTACGGGCCATCCTACTAGACACGATACAGCTGGAAATAAAAGCCTTCAGCGGTTTGCCTTCAGCTGGAGCATGCACCTTGACTGGTTGGCGGCCACGATCCCTTCCCATTCGTTCAGATTTAAGGTCGGGAACTCCCGTCGCTCTTCAGCGGAAAGATCCTTCAGGCGCACCTCACACCCACGAGTATCCAAGAGAGATAGAGCGACCCCCCCCCCGGCATCTTCGCGCGGCGACGCCATCGTCAGAATTACCATTGTGATATTGAACCCAGTCCCCACTCCATCCTTCTCGTTCCAGGGCCTCCTCCAGGCCGGCCATGAGCCCCTCATCACTCATCTCAAGAAGCGCGTTCATTTCTGCGCCCTGCAGCTCAGGCGAGGGTTCCGGGGCGCCCTCCACGCCGACCCCCCGACTCCTAACCCCTGGAACTGGGGATCGGGACCTAGGACGAGGAGACTGCTGCCCCTCGAGCGCGCGAACCTGAGTCCGCACCCGACCAGCAGGAAAGCCCCGGAAGTCCTCTCCGCGGGCGACCGCTCGCACGCCGGCCCAGCGCGCCCCCAGATCGAGAATCTCGTTCCGCTGAACTGCACCGTCCATAATCCCTGGCCTATTGGACGCCACCCTCGAGTGGGAACTGTCAGTGGGAACTGTCTGGGACTTGTCCGGCACTTTGGGTCGCGGCTGCTGGGGGCCCTGGCGGAAGAACGCCAGTGTCTCCCAGAGAAAGCTGCGGCGCTGCCTCCGGCAGCTCAAAGCCAGACGCCTGGGCCACGTCTTCTTGCGGGACGAGGCGGGCGCCCTCCTCCAGACGAAGACCCACTGTCAGGGATGCATCTTGGAGTCCCGGTGGACGTTCCCCTTGGTGGCTTCCGCCAGCTTCCGCCGACTGGATGAGCGAAACGGTTCCTGTCGCGCCAGACCCCGAATGGCATGTTGGCGAGTCGGACGCCGCTGTGTCTTGGTCCCAAGCAGTTTGGACCAGACCCCCTTCCCCGACCTGGCGCACGCCGTCGTCGGACAGCATGTCGTTCGGCAACCTAGGGTTGATCCCATACACGAGCTGAAACAGCGCGCATCCGCCCCCACGCAAGCAATGGTTCTTGGCGGCCACGACCTCATGGAGAAGCGATTGCAGCTCGGCCCTACTGGTGATCAAGGAACTCCCCGAAGCTCTAACCAAAATTTGTTTCACCCAGCCCCCGTGTCTTTCGCATCTGCCGTCTTTCCAGAGGCTCTCCGCGTCAATGACGCGGTGGAAGATTCCTAGATGCTCTACTCCCCGCTCGAAGTGCCCTATGAATTCTGGTCCGCCGTCGGACAGCAGCATTTCGGGTGGCCCAAAGGGCCGAGCCCAGGCCCTAAGAAAGGCCCCCCCAGCCCCCACCGAGGTACCATCGCACACCTCCACGATCTGAAGATTAGCACCGTGGCGAACGCAATTGAGCACCAGAACGGACTCGCTGCATGGCTTATATAGAAAGTGACGCCCGCGATGACCCTGCGGAACTAAAACGAGCGCGGCATCGCCACTGAGGGGTGCCCAGCGGGCCCCACCTGGGCCCGGCAATCGGCGCGTTCATATTCGCCCCGGACATGCCCGATAACTTCTGGGCGAGCATGCGCAGCCCTCAAAACGCCCAGGGAGATTACTTTCCGCGGGCGCCCGAGGTTGACATGAGCCTTGCGAATCAGCGTGTTTTTTTTTTCATGGGGGCGTTAATGTCCACCCCGTGTTCCCCGGGGCCCTCCTTCGCCCCGGCCTCCTCGCCTCGCCCTCGGGCCCCTCGGGGCCCCCATCGACGGCTGGGAACGCCCCGACCCCGCCCTGACACGCCCCAAGCTCAGCCCCGCATTCCTCGGCCATCTCGAGAAGGGTGAAATGACCCCCCTGCTCGCACACGCCGCGCATCACGGCGCTAGCGAAGGCTCGGCGGAGCTTCGAGGGTAGATCTGCGATTTTCAAGTGATATGACCCCCCTCCAGATGATGAGCGCGCCCCCCTTTGCACTGTCGCCCTGAGAGCTGACTTCAATGGCAGGGGTCATTGGTCATTATCACGGTGGCCTTCCGAGACAAAGACCCCTCCTCGACCGAGAGGCCGAAACGACATTGGTCGAAAACCACTTCCTGGACCCCTGGGAGTTTTCGAATCATCTCAACCACGTGCGCTCTCCACGAGCGGGCGCCATTAGGGCGCTCAAAAGCAAACCGGCGACCGCCCTGCACCTGCAGAAGAGCAGCCCTCATGCAGAAGGCGAGATGCTCCGGGGCCTCTCGTTTCTTGGCGTTCTGGAACTCAGGAGGTCCGGGGGAGGCACTTTGGAAAAGCTTCCGAATCGGGCTGAACTCAGCACGCGGAAGTTCCAGGAAAACGAACTACGGCTCCTGTTCACCCAACAGGCGGAGAGCCCGCCCCCGATCGTTCTTGAGTCGGAAGTCCCAACCTGCGGCGAGGCCCAGGCTGCCGAACAATCGAAAGCCGGCCCCTTCCAAAATAGGAGCTATTCTGGGTGGAGAGAAGATCTCCATAAAAAACTGATCCCGAAGATCGGAGTCGACCCTTCGGTCGCTCCGTAGAGCCTGAAGCTGTTTCCTCTCGGATTTCGTCAGAAGCACCCCGTAATCATCATTGGTCTTGTCCCCGAGGACGGTATTTTCCCGGGCTGACGCGAAAAAATAACCCCCCTTTCTCGCCGACTGGGCTTTCGGCGGGGAAGACGGCCCCCAGCGAGACGAGCGAGCCCAGCACTCGGCGACAACGCGAGGGCTCAGGATTAGCCGAGAAACATATTCCCCCTGAGGACAGCTTCTTAGCCCGCATCTCCTGAGAGGCGCGCTCGCTCACGACCAGCGGGCCTTGAGGCGCCGCAACTCCTTCTCCGCTTCTCCTGGCTGCGCTGGCTTCCACGGGTCGTCCGTTTCCTTCTCGTTGAGACGAATGTCTCCAGACTTGCCCTGGCCCGAGGACCCCTTGGTCGCCCCCTTGGAGCATGGGCCCGCCGCGAGTCCGTCGGCGGCAGCGAGTGGCTCGCATCCGTCGCCAGAGACTCCGTCGAACCCACCCGGAGGCCCGCCGCCGCGAAGAGTGCGCTCGGGTTCCTCGGCGGCGCCCGCGGACCGGAGGTCGGTCAGCCTCCCAGAGACGGTGGAGCCGTCACCGCTGGAGCCCCTGCGTCCTTGGCCGCATGGTGGTGCAACTCCGCCCGCGACGCCACGGCTGGCGGCGCCTGAGTCCTGTCGAGCGGCTGCGCCCCGATGTAGGCCCACGACTCTGGCGCCACCCCCGCTGGGGGCCCCGCCGCCATGGGAGGCGCCGCGCGGGGCCCAGGACGACTCATCCACTGGCCCAGTGACGAGAGCCCACTGGGCTGAACTGCTGGCTGCGACGCTGCCGACTGGGGTGTCGGCTGAGCGGCTGGCGGTGGCGCTGCTGACGAGGGCGCGATCATCTCGGGCTTCTGAAGCGCGACTGCAGCGGCTTCGATCTTGAATGGATCCACCTTGCTGCTCGCCCCCCCCCCCGCGCCATCGCCTGATGAGACGACTTGCCTCCTGAGCCTGCCCCTGAGCCACCGCCACGGCCTGCATCTGCTCCCAGGCAGTCTTGGAGACCGTCGCGAGGCCCTGCTGCTGCGTCGCCCGGTTCGCCGCCACGCCGAGAATCATGGCCAACTGCTTCTCCATCATGGTTTTCATCTCCTGCTCGGACTTTGCCTCCAAGGCCCTCGACTCCTCGATCTGGTAAACCTGGCGATCCGCAGTGCCCATGTCTCCCAGGTCGCGCACCACGGCTGCCTTGCGCTCGCCGGTTGCCTCGCGCTTGGCTGCCGCTCGCATGGCGGCCTGATGCGCTTGAAGCCCTGCGACTACTCCCTCGGCTTCCTCTGATACACGCTGGCAAGGCACCACTCCACCACCGCTTCCACTGCTGGCGACTGCCAACATTCCGGGGCGCATCGGCATCGGCATCTGGGAGGTGCCGGGCGGTGGCTTGGGCACCGCGATTAGAGCCTGCCATTCGGGGTCGCCGCCGCCCTGAGCCCACCCCTGTCCACAGAGGACGCAGGCGGCGTCCTCCTTCTTGCAAAGGCATGTGCGCTCGGCCTTCACCCCGCCCTTGGTTGGCTTGGTCTCGCGGTAGGCCACTCGCATCGTGCACCCCGAGCAGTAGAACCACTTGCCCCAGGCGTTCCCGCCATGCGACGCCGCGATCGGCGGGCGCCAGCAGGCGCCGAAAACTTCCGAAACACATCGCAGTCATTTCGGCAGGTTGGTCGGCCAGAATCTCTTGGCGCGCGGGAGGTTGCCGAACTCCTCGGTCATCTTGAGCACGTGGAACAGCGCCGCGCCAACGAGGCACGCCCAGCCCTTCCCTCCACTCGTCAGGTTCTCGGGCACGCAAGTGCCCGTGGCTGCGCACAGAGTTGACCTTCATGCGGTCGGTCATCGTGCGTGGACGTTCCTGGACTCCACGACGCCCGCGAAGGTCGCCTGGCTTGGTCGTCGTCGGCCAGGGTGCCGACATCGCTGCTGCCGGGATCCTCGTGGTCTAAGTCCTCTGTGTGCTTGTCACTACAGGCGTCGTCGAATTGCTGCGTGCTTAATGGTTTGAGCCCAGAGGCTGCCGTGGAGCAGGATGAGGAAGGAGCTGAGGCTGCCCTCGGAGACCCCCTCCTGCGACACGACCTGGCCCTCGATTCGGCACTGGACCCCGTAGAGGCAGGGGCGGCCGCCCCCGCCGCCCCAGCCCCCAGCCCCGACCCCGTGGGTGACCCCGACGACGAACTGGACCTGCCTTCTGAAAACTAATCCCTTTGCTGACCCCCCAGATGATCGATCTCTCCCGAGACTGCTGGAACACGAATTGGACGCTCGCCGCGGCTCGCCCTCGGCCCCCGCCCGAATATAAGCCCAGAAGAAAACCGGGGGACGCCCCAAATGGCCCTTCCGGCCCCAGACCCCCCCCCCCCCCAGCGGCCTCCGACAACCCTTCCCGCAAGGCCTGGCTGAGCAAAAGGCGAAGATGGGATGACATACCCCCCCTGCGCCTGAAAAGCATCCTTGGGCCGGTGCGGGTGCGATCGAAAGACCGACGCTGGGGCGTTGAAATACTCGGCGGCAACCGAAAAGTCACCTACCTGGATGGCGCGACGCGCCGAGGGCAGACGCGCCATAGGCGCGCTGACCCCCATCTTGGCGAACCCCATGGTCTGGCTCGGGAGGCCCACCACTCCGCCCAGGCACCCCTGGGAACCCATGGGCAACAGAGGCGGGGCGTCTTGGCTTGGGACGCCCAGCTCAAGAACTCCCATCCGGCCCTCGATGCCAAGAGGGACGAGAGCGGTCGCTAAAGCGGCGACCCTTCCCCCGACGCCTCGAGCGCAGGAGTTCCTGGGGGGGGGCTTGGGATAGCGAAGCCCTTGGAGGCCCAGTGTTCCTCGACCTTCCCGAGGGCGGGTTCCCCGACGAGGCCCTGGCCAGCAGCTGCGTCTACGACCGCGGCCCCGGGCCCCACGGCAAGCAAAACCACAGCATACAGGGACGTGGGGGATCGTCAAAGGTGAGTGTAGACTGAGAACCGTCAACTACATTCACGCACAGAAACGACCCCCCCGCCATGGCCGGTTTCTGACCCCTCCCGCCCCGACCCTGGCCCTGGCGCTTCGGGCGCTCGCGAGACCAGCGGCCCTCGAGGTGGCGCAGCCGGCGCCGAGTGCGCTTGATCAGCTCCTGGAGTGGCAGGCGCCCCTTTCGGGGTCGAAAGGCGCCGCCCGCCGCCCCGCGGCCGGGCCTGCGAGGCTTCGCGCGCCCATCGGCGCCACGGGCTCCAGCTGAGGCGGACCTGTCGTAGAACTTCCTGTCGACCTTCAGCTGCCTCTTCAGGTCGCGATTATGCTTCCAGGTCTTGCGGCGCCCCTTGCTGAGCGCAGCGAGCGCGGCCTGGGCGCCGTCCTTCAGTTAGCTTTTGACGACAAAACGCATTTCAAAAAAATAAGCGCTTAAACGCCAAATGATCGGTACAGCGTTGGACGAATCGCGGCTGACCGAACGCGAGAACGCGAGCGCCCGCGCGATGCTCCTCGCTGCAAACTGACGCCCCGCTTAGGACCGCGATAACAGCGTTTGGCGCGAAAATGCGCGGACCGAATTGCCTGCCAATCGCGACGCTGCGATCAGGAACCGCCGCGCCAATGACAGCGGCAGCGGTGATAATCGAATAAACACCTTGGAGCAAGTGGCGCTGCCACAGCGACATCAAAGGCGCCCTCGCGTTCAATAACACATTGAAGGTCGCGCAACCACGCGCGAGCCCCATGCGACGCTACAGCGCGCAACAGCATGATGAGCGGAGAAGTAGACAAGCAAACGCGACGTGCGTGCCGGCGCGCGCTAACCTACAACCGCGGGCTCGCACGTGCGCGCGCGCATGTTCGAGGGCGGTGGCATCGCCAGAAGTCGCGGCGCGATGGCAACTGGTTGTGCAAATTTGCAGGTCGCCAGGCGCAGTTCTGAAAATTCTCGGGGACGCAAAACCAATGAAAACCGCGCTGCGCATTCAAAGCGACGCGATCACGCGAGACGCACTTTCGCGCGAGACACCAGCGAGGCGTCGGCAACGCGGCGGCGGGCAGGAACGCATTAAATTGCGTTGCCGCGCTTGTGCACCCGGGCCTCCCTGTGAACTTTTGCGACCAGTACGGGTGCACGAAACAGAAGAGCTTCCACTGCACCAGGTATGGCGGAATGGCCCCTGCTAATAGTCTGGCGCGCGAGTGGGCCAGGCAGGGCAATTATTTTTGCGCCGCGTGGGCCGACCACGATTGCCAGGAAAATTATGCACTCACGCAAGAGGATATCGACGGGCTCGGACAGGGCCCGAAATTCTTGGATACCTTTATGCTTTCGCCGGGCCCGCCGATCTGCAAGGATCCATGCTGGCTCGTGGTCCACGTGGCGGCGCCGCCTCATGTGGGCGCCCCCCCCCCCGTTTCGCGGCCCCACATGGAGGTCCACCGAAGGCCCCAATGGCATGGTTCCATGGCGGCGCCGCCCATGTGGGCGCACCCCTCGCACGGTTCGTGGCCCCGCATGGAGCTCCACTGACGGCCCTGCTGGCAGGGTCTACATGGCGGCTGCGCCCCATTTGGGCGCACCCCTCGCTCGGTTCGCGGCCCCGCATGGAGTCCCACCGGAGGCCCTAGTGGCGCGGCCCACATGGCGGCGCCGCCCCATCTTGGCGCACCCCCCACGCATTCGTGGCCCCACATGGCACCCGCAGCTGCATATGGCTGGGTATTTCGCCAAGCTTATTCTAGTCCAGGTCCTAATCGGCCTTTGCGAGGCCCCGTGGGCGACCGCGAGGGGCTCTTTGAGTTTCTTGACACTCGTGGCCGCCCGCCTCTCGGCGAAGGAGTTGAGTTACGTCGCATGCTTGCTGCGCCACGCGCGGGGCGGACTTCATGAGCACTGTGCCCACAGAGCATCCTGCGCACGCTTGTGACGCTGGCATCGAGGCTACAGATTGGAGACCAAAGGTGCTGCGATCACTTCGGCGCCCGCTGTGCGTGGATCCGTCGGGACACGTACTCTACAGGCAAATGCCTTTCTCATTTCGCCATCATCTGCTCTTGCCGCCCCCCTCGCATTCCCCCCGCGCTGTTCTTGCCTTGCCCTGGTTCGCGTTCCTTCTTGTTCTCCTTCTGCGTTGCGCGCGCGCGCCCTTGCTGCCAATCGACCCGCCTGCCCCCCTGCGCCCATGCGCTGCGGGCGGCGCCCAGCCGACAAAAAAAAACGACTGCCCCGACAAAATTGACCGACAAAAAACCGAAACGCCCGACAAAAAAAAACGACAACAAATCTGCCCGACAAAATGGGTCGACAAAAAAGGAGGCGGCCCGGGGGGGAGGAAGAGAGAAAAACAACAAAAAAAAAAAAAAAAAAAAAAAAAAAAAAAAAAAAAAAAAAAAAAAAAAAAAAACGACGGCCGCGACAAAAGATCTGACCGACCCAAGAAAGTGTCGCGACAAAATCGTTCCTGGCTTTCGCTGCGGGGCGGATTCATTGAAATTTCACAGTTAGGATGCGCCCCCGCTGGACCCCGCGGCAATTTTGTCCGACGGTCCGGGTGGAGATTCTGTCGGTCTGTTTGGTTGGGCGGTTTGTCGAAGCAGTCTGGTGCGCCCACGAGGTCGCGCCGCGTTCGCCGGGCGATTCGCGGCCCTAACGGGAGCGCAGTAGCATCGCGCGGCGACGGGGGGGGGGACATGGCGGCGCGGTGGGGGGGGAAGAGGAGGGGGAGAGAGATTGGCAGGAGGAGGAGGAAAACAATGAGGAGGAGGAAGAGGGCGAGGGGACATGGCGGCGGGCATCCCCGACTTCAGCTTGCCTGGCCCAACCCTTCGGGGGGGGGGGTGCGTCGGTCGGCCAGGGCGAGCACTGCGTGGAGCTCGCCCCAGGAAGTTCCCAGGGGAGATTCGGGGGCGCGCGAAGGCTTTGGCATTCCGATGCCTGTGGCAAACCCCGCCGCTGCGCCTGCGCCGCGGGTCGCAGGCCCTCTGGGCGTCGGCGCAGGTTTCGCTTTCCTTTTTTTTGCGCGATGGGGATTTCCAAAATGCCTTGGGGGCTCTCGTGCAAAACTTGCAAGGCATTGTGGACGTTCTCGGCGGCGTCATGGGCCTTCAGGTGGCACTCGTGGGAGCCTCGCAGGGGCGTCGCGGAGGAATGCGGGCCCTGCTGCGGGCAATTTGGGGCTGCTGGTTGACGCTATGTCTCACGGTTCCCTCGTGTTCCAACCCTCTCCCTTTATCACCCTTCCTTCCTCAACCCTACTAACTCGCCCACCCTCCCCCCTGCCCCACCCCCCCCCTTCTCCCTGGCTTTCCCCCTCCCTGGCCCTCCTTCCCCCTTTCCCGCGTCCCCCCCTCCCCCTCCCACCTCGCCCTACTAACTCGGCCCCCCCTTCTTCCTGCCCCATCGTTTCTCTTCCCCTCTCCCTTCCTCGTCGTCGCCCTCCCCCCTCCCCCCTCTTGTCTTTTTTGTTTCTGTTCCTGCCCCTCCCCGTATAATTTCTCTGTTTCGGCGCGCCCAACGCGTCGCTCCGCGGCCCCATAGGAAGCCCCGCCGGAGGCGCCAGTGGCAGGGTCCATATGGCG